CCCCCCGGGACATTATTTCTAGAAAAATTTATAATAAACCTTGAAGGATAAAGTTCTCTTTGCAAAATACAATTGATCCAGCTTCTTTCAGTTGGCCCACAATTCTGGGAATCTACTTACTGGTTTATACAGGAATGAAAGGTACAACAATTTAGTTGGAATATCTTAAATGATGCAGATGGGAATCTTAAAGGACTCTGGGAACAGCTGGGACCTCACAGATGTTGAACACACCTGGGAACTGGTGTGATTCAGTGCAACTGGAGGAATGGGTTATCTCATTGTCCCCCTGACAGCAGGATCTCATTGATCCCTATCTTTATGCAGTGACTCATTCTACTCTGTCTCTACTTCTATTGTTCCTTTGTTACCAATTACTTCATTCTCTACTTTATATGTCTCTTCTCTGCCTAATGGCTTCACTTTACTAATAACTGCCCTTCTTAGGGCTTTTCAGGGTGTCTTTCTACTACCTGACTTTTTAACTTCTGCTCCCAACACGTGATTGATTTTGTCTTTGTGTTCTAGTTCAAATTCTTGAAAGAGAATGGGTGTAGGTAATCACTGTCATCCCTGTTCGGCTAGAGTGTTTATATCAGGTCATATTGTAGGCCTGGCTGCCTCAGGTTATATGGCTCTGTGAAGGGGGTTGTCTGACATAGATCATGCCTCAGGCTGCTGCCTCAGCTGAGGATGCTGGCCGGAGTGGAATTCATACAAGGGTAATCTGAATCTGGCACAGCAACACAGAATGACCTCTTAGGCACGTTCTTTTTGTTTTGAGTTTAAAGACAAAAAATTAAAAAAAATTTTTTTTAATGTTTTATTTATTCCTGAGAGAGAGACAGCGTGAGCAGGGGAGTGGCAGAGAGAGAGGGAGATACAGAATCTGAAGCAGGCTCCAGGGTCTGAGCCTGCTGTCAGCACAGAGTGTGACACGGGGCTCAAACCCATGAACCATGAGATCATGACCTGAGCCAAATTTGGATGCTTAGCTGACTGAACCACCCAGGCGCCCCAAAACAAAAAAATTTTAATACAGTACTTACGGAAATATATTTTTCTTTTTTTTTTTTTCAGGACAAAATTCTCCTGACTCTTTCATTTAATATAGTCATGTTAAGGGGTGCCTGAGTGGCTCAGTTGGTTGAACGTCTGACTTCGGCTCAGATCATGATCTCATGATCTGTGGGTTCAAGCATTGCATCCAACTCTTTGCTGAAAGCTTGGAGCCTGGAGCCTGCTTCTGATTCTGTGTGTGTGTGTGTGTGTGTGTGTGTGTGTGTGTGTGTATGTCTGCCCCTCCTCCCATCATGCTGTCTCTCTCCCTCAAAAGTAAACACAAATAAATAAATAAATAAAAATAAAATAGTCATGTTACATAGAAACAATAAGTAGATTTGAAGTTGCCAAGGGCTAGAGGTTGGAGGGAAATGAGAAGATATTGGTCAAAGGGTACAAACTCCCAGTTGTAAGATGAATAAGTTCTGGGGATATAATATACTGCATGGTGACAATAGCTAACAATACTGAGGTATGGTCTTGAAAGTTGCTGAGAGAATAGATCTCAGCTGTTTTCACCACAAGGAAAGAAAAAAAAAGGTAACCATATGAGGTGAAGGATGTGTTAATGAGCCTTATTATGGTAATCATTAAATCATCATGTAGTACATCTTCAACTTAGACAATCTTATATGTCAATTATATATCAATAAAGCTGGAAAAAAATAGTCATGTTACCCAGCTATTTTCCAGCTGACTCTAATAGAAATATATTTGTGCTAAATCTTTCTTAAAGTTCCTAAAATTTAATATTATGGGGAAAATGTTCATGCTGTACAGTGTTCAACTGGCATTTTAATAAGCTTACTTGCTTATTAAAGAAATAAAATGCATTTTAATGGTTGATATAGAATTGTGCCTACAGATATCAGAGACCAGCAAAGATGGGTAGGGAAGGTCTGGAATATGCTGACTTTCATGAAGTAGGTTAAAAACATTTCCCTTTTGAAACAGAATGTTCTCAGGCATTTTCCTGGCCCTTGACTGATAAAATATAAATGGTTATGTGTAATGGTTAACTGCAGACTGTAATTGTTGGAAATTATTTTTATATGCACAAATTGTGATGGAGAGTGGATTGCAAACATAAATTTCTGTTTGGGTTTTATTCTTATTTAGAAGCATGACTTAACTTGCTTTCTATATCATACCACTGTAAACGGGAAGTGAAGTCAGGCAAAGAACTGCTTCCTGTCTTCTTGCAGAAAGGAAATACATATATAAATATGTATAGGCAGCCTTCTCTCTACTCAGTCCATCCCATGCACAGTCTTGATTTAGCATTAGTAAAATATCATAATGTCATTCCCCTATTCTCACCTCTGACTGTATGTTAGAATCACTTGCAAAGCTTTTAAAAGAAACCCTATTTCTAGGCCCCACTCCCCAATTTTCTGACTTATTTGGTGTGGGTGCAGTTTGGGCATTGATATTTTTGAGAGGCATCCTAAGTAATTCTAAGGAGCAGACAGGAAGCCATTAGGTAAATAGACAGAATGTGAACATTTGCATTTCCCTTTAAGGCAAATTTTCTATCCCCAGTTTAGCTTATCAGGCAGTGGCCAGCTCAGCTAGGCTCCCATACCCTCTCTACAGTGCTTGTGTTTCTTTCCCCTGTTCTATTTCTTTTACAGACATTCCAAGAGTTTTCTCCTTACGCATTTTTTTCTCATTCAAATTTCTGCCCAATTTTCAAGACGCTGGCTCAGTTTTTACCTCCTCCACGAGGCCTTCCCTGACTGCCCTTGTCTAAGAGGGCTTGCTCCCTCTTCTGAATTCACACAGCAGTTATTGCCTAGAAAATCATCTAAACAATGCATCAGTCATGTACTGCTTTGTGTCATCTCTTCTATTGTGTTGAATAGATAAATCTCACTTTTCACCTGTTACCAGCTACCTATACTGTAAGCTTCTAGCATTACTTTGTATCTTTGACAAGCTGAGTGCCTTGCACAATGTAGGAAGTCAATAAATATTCTCCCCTCCTTTCCATCCTCACTTCCACAGGTGTGGTTCACACCTTCATTTCTCCTGGAGTTTTGCCCTGGTCCTACTACGCCTTCCTGACACCAGACTCTGGCTTTTTAAATCAGCAATGCATCAATGCCTCATGTGGCCAATGGCCAGTAGGACTAATTGTATGCTTGTACTCTGCTCATTCTTGCTCTCTTCCTATTTTATGTGCTAGGTGACTCTTTGAGTTCTTTTTCCCCTCTGTCTCCTCACTCTTTTACTCCCTATCCTGCCAGGACTTGATGACAAAATTCATTTTCTCAGGTTTTGACCTCTTACGTTCTCTAAAATGTCAGAGTATAACATACTTTCTGGATCTTCTTGTCCCTTTTACCTTTGGGCAAACACTTCCCCTGCCAGGCTCTGGCCCAGCTGGCCTAAATTATTTTGCTAGTACCCTGGTCTGATCTGTCAAGATTCCCCTCTAAGAGAACAAACACTCTCTATACTGTCTTTAGGATTCTCATCCTTTAAAAGAATGTAGAAAAGAGTTGTCTACATGATTAAAAATTTCTCTTGGTCCCTTATTGCCTGCAGCATAAAGTTTAAACCTGAGATGTCCAATATGGGAGTAATTAAAACTCAAATAAAAAAGTGAGTTCCTGACGTGAGGGCGATCTGGCTGTGGTATGTCAACCCACTGATTGCCAAGGTTGATTTGGCTGATCTCTCTGGCCAGGTAGTTGTCCTTATTCTCCCTCACCATTCCACATGTTCTCTCCCAGGGCTGAACATAGCTCAAGAGGACAACTTGTATTGATAGAGGAGGACCATTCTTCCAGTGGGCTCCCCTGCTAGATCCTATAAACAAGCTCTCCAGGTCCATTTGTAGGAGAAGGTAGAGTAATCAAGCTTCCAAGACTCCAGACATATCCAAATGATGTGCTGCAGGTAGCAGTCTGCTTTTCTTAAAAAAAAAAAAGAGTTCTTCAGCTATGCCATGTAAGTGGCTAGTGGCTATTACATTGGACAACACAAATACAGAGCATTTCCATCATTGCAGAAAGCTCTGTTGAACAGTGCTCTTCTAAGGACCTTAATGTAGCTCATGAGACCTTTTATAATTTCATCTCAATCTTTTACTCTACCTTAATTTTTGGTTGCTACTCACTTTCAATCCCACCCACTTTCTCAGTGTTCCCCAACCACTCAGTGCCCTTTTCCAACTCCATGCCTTTGAACATGCTGTTTCCCTTTTACTGAAATCCCCCTTGACTTTCTTCTCTGGCAAATACCTACTTACCTTTTCAGATCCAACTCAAACATTACCTTCCTTGTGAAGCTCCTTGACATTCCTAAATACGCTAATTTCTTCCTCTGTGTTTCCCATGCTCATTGAACCTAGCTTTATTGCCCTTATCACTGTATTTTGTTATTTGCTTATAAATTTGGCTATGTTTTTGGAAAGGGGATGGTGACTGCTCTAGAGATCTGCCCTAATGGTTACCTAAAATTGTTTGCTTGATGCCTGTTTGACATCATGTATTTTCTTATTTATGTGCTTGGCATGTTTGAAAGGATCAATTGGTGCCTTTCCCTTTTCTGGAGTAAACCTAGAATGACTTTTTGTCTTCCAGGGTGAAGTCCATTTCTCTTTTAATTAATTCTGACTGGACTTGAGAGGGATGTGATAGGAGGAGTTGACAAAGTCCAGAACAGAGGGAGCTACAGAGCTGGTTCAGATGTGCTCAGTTGCCAGTAGCCACACAAATGTATGTGTTTGGGAAAGAGCAGGGAGGGAATATGGAGAAAATAAAAACAGCCCATGGAAAGAAGTTGGGGAATTATGTTTGACCTTTTCCAGGCCAAGGCCAAAAGCAATGATATAATAAGATGGGAAGAATTTTTATGACCATTTTACAAAAACGTACATATTTTTCTCTTCTGGTATTTGATGAGATTTTAATAAATTCTTATGACTCGAATTATTGGAAAGTAAATGCTCCTGACCAAGAAATTAAAATATCAGTTAGTTTATCTTCTGTAATCATGGTTAACATCACTCTGAAAGGCTTATTTTCTTCTGAGAGGGCTATAAATCCTATTGGCTCCGGGTCTGAGAGACCTTCTCAGATCACTGTAATCTATGCTGTGCAGCAAATCGTACAGTCAATCATCTTCCCCTTGGCTCCCCGACCACGCCCATTGATTAGACCACGCCCACCTAAAGTCGCCCTCCCTCCCACCTTATGGCTCCGCCCCAGGCCTAGGAGAGGAAGATTCTTATTGGTGAAGAAGTTGTTCTGGTTCCGCCCCAGGGCACGGCGATAGGTCGAGCCCGAGTGGGGCGGTGGTGGTTGGCTGCCTGGGGACGGGTCCGTAGCCGTGCCTGTCAGAGTGGCTGGCGGCAGTGGCGGCTCTCCCGGCTGGGTTGTCAGTCAGTAAGCAGAGGGGGAAGATGGCTCGCTGGGACCCGTTCTGTTAGGAAGAAGGGGGGGCAGGTGGTGCTTCTACTCCGGAGAAAGCAGAGCAGCTGCCGTCGCTGTCGCTGGGAGTCAAACAAGCCGAGGTTCTGGAGGTGGAGCTCGGGAAGCCGCTCTGGTGAGTCCGACCGAGCGACCCACGCCGGGCCCCCAGGGCAGCCGGCGACCGATAACTTTTTTGTCAGGGAGGAGCCGGGGCGAGGCGGCGGCGGGGAGGGGACCGGGACTTTGTCCCCGGGGCGGCGCCTTCGTTGGGGGTAACGGCTCCCTCGCGAGGCGCTGCGGGTGGGCGCGAGAAGGTGCTGGGCTCTAGGGACGTCCGAGGAACCTGAGCGGCGGGGTCGGGTGAGTGGGCTGCGGCCGGCGGCTGCTCACCCCGAAGTTGGGCGCAGCCCGTCTGCTGCCTGGGCGGCGGCAGCTTTGTGCGCGTGGACTCGGGTCTTTCTCTCTCCCGGCAGGGAGCAGTCCAGACTCCGGGCGTGCCCAGGAGGCACCCGCCTGGGCGGGACCCGCCGCCCCTCTGCGGGGGGCCCCCCACCCCCACCCAGCCGCAGCTGATGCTCCGGCCTGGCCTCTCCCATTCCAGGGAGGCTACCGCTATACGTCCAGTCTAGTGGCCAAAATGGTCACCGTCAACTCCCCCCAACCCCATTTTTAAAAGCAGCGTTCGCCTTGGTCTTTGGTGTCCCCCGCAGGGCAGGGAGATTCGGAAAGCAGCCACGATTCCTTCCTTGGTTATTACACTGGAGATCCCCGCTTCAGCACTTGCTCCCTTCTTTCTAGGAGTTATTCCTCTCCTGAGGATGATTTTAACGTGCTGGAGAGTCGTCGGGGTTTTGTCTGAAAATGGTTGTATTGGAAGACCCCAAGTTTGCACGGTTCAGCAAAACTGCGTATCCGCCCTTCAGCGTGCACAGTTGTGCTCTTGTGCCCTCCAAGTTTAGGCATTCCTGAAAGATTTTAATTTTGCCCTAGTGGTTTCGTACTGCACTGGATCGGTCTCTGATGAATACACTATCACACATCCGGCAGCGGCTCCGCTCTTCAGGTAGGGGGAGTTTGTTCCACAGGCAGCTGCTAATTTCAGAGACCATACGGCAGGCGGTAGGACCAAGCTGTCCTTTTGCAAATTATTTGTCCTTGGGTCACACAGTAGTATTTGGAGCCGGTATGGCACCACTTTGGTTCATGTAACACTTGACGGTTTGAAATTTTTAGCTTTTAAAATCTTATCTGCATAAAGTCATAAGGATCGGTGTAACCTTGAGTCAATGTGATAGACCCGGGAGAGTTGTTTTACATAAGAACATTTTCCTAACATCCACAGACTACCCCTCCCCTCCAATTTATAAGCACCTTTTCTTGGGTTAATGCATTTTAAGGCTTACAACACGAATATTGGTTCCAAACACCATTTCTTTGAAGTGCAGGGAAAGGCAAGAAAGAAAAAAAATTAGGATCTGCTGGGCCAATAGTGGCTTTAAAGTCGGTTATTCAAATAATTCATTTAAATAAAGTGGCTAAGGGGAAAACCATCACATATTTAGATTAAAAAATTCTGGATTTGGCTTATTTTATCCCTTTTTGATTTACTACTGTTATTACCATAGAGGGATTATAAAACCTTTTACTTATCAACATTAACAGTACCTGGGTATAGACACCCAGATAAGGTGTTAGTTAGGTCAATGTGTGTTATTCCTGCTATGGTTTCTTTCTTTGTTGTGTTTCTATTTTATGAAATCTGCTCTTGATTGCATTTCTTAGAGTAGTGTTGTTTTGGCAGTCTTATAATCAACTATTTTATTTAGGATCCTGTTGCATGATATTTATTTTATGATGAAAGTGTAAAAACTTTGAAAAATGTTAGTATCAGTACCATTTTGGGGGTATCATATTTACATTTTGAAAATAATTGACATTATGCCAAACATAAATTTATTTTGCACTGCCCCAGGCTGAATAGGTTCTAGGGCAGAAATGAATGGCATAACTCTTGTCATCAAGGAATTTACTGTCTGATGTAGAAGACAGATAAGTAACGATTATAATACCATGTGATAAATGTGAATAAAGATATGCCTAAGTGTAGGAAGGTAGCAGAGTAGGAGATGGCTAACTCAGCTTGGATGTAGGTAGAATCAGGAGCAAACAATACAGTTTTGAAATATGATATAATTTAGCTAAGTGCAGGAGGTCAGAGGAGGTGACCTCTTGCAGTAGGTGCAAGAGGAGAATATAATAAGTGAGAATGCAAGGAGGCAGGAGAAACTATGGTAGTTTAGAGAAGTCATTGTCAGTGACAAATCCAAAGCCAATACCATTGACATTAACATGACTTGAATGCTGGGATTAGATAAGGAAATAGTGGAAGATGAGAAGAGTGAGGGTGGTAGAACTCTAGATCGGGGCATTGTATCCTTGGTTACAGGGACTGGGTTAGTGGTGATGAGTAAAAAACCATGTAACGAATTTTTGTTTTAGACCCTTACCCTAGTAGAGTGTAGTAGAACCTGATAGGTATTGTCACCTTTGGGAAGAAAGAAGGAAGAATCAGGACCCTGAGGATTTGACTTGGTTCTAGTGATTGAAAGTGAGGGGAGATGGAGGAAAGATGATAATTTCTATTATGGGTTTTCTGAATTTGAGGAAGCTGTGGAACATTCAGGTAAAGATGTCATTAAATGTTTGGATTCATGGATGTGGAACTTATAAAGGAAATCAGGATTGCAGGGTAGATTGGGGGTTGAATTGAAGCTGTATTGATTTGTTGACATTGAAATGACTCAGGGAAGGGTTTTAGTTTATAAAAGCAGAAGCTAGAGAACAGCCTGATAAAAAGCAGAAATGGGTAGAAGAATAGTGTTGTGAAAGGGATAGAAGAGTAGTAGTTAGAAAGGTAGGAGGAACATCAGGAGAGATGCTAAGGATGGAGAGAATTTCAAATAGAGGGGAATGGGTTAACACGTTTGAATGTGGTAAAAAGGTGTCAAGGAAGGAGAGGATTCCAGGAACCTAAGGATCTGGATTCCGTAGGTTGCTTGAACAAGTACAGTTTTAACTGAGTAGTGGTTCAGAAACCAGCCTTTGGAAGATTGAGAAAGAATGGGTGATGATAAAGTAGACATGCTTGAGTGAGGCATTTCAAGAAAACTGAAGAAGGGAGAGGATGATAGCTATAGAGCAGTGCTTCTCATCCTTAGCTGCACATTTTCAGTCTTTTGGGAAGCTTTTAAGAATCTTGATTTCCAGGGAAAAGCCCATGCCAATTTGGGGTTGACGTGGAAACCCAGGCATTAGTATTTATTTCAGCAGCTTTGTTGAAATTAATTGGCGTGTAATAAACTACACATGTTTAAAGCACACAATTTAATGTTTGACATAGATTTACATTTGTAAAATTATCACCACAATCAAAATAACAAACATATCCATCCCCTACAAAATTTTCTTGTGTCCCTTTGTAATTTCTCCCTCTCATCCTCAGGAAACCACGGATCTACTTTCTGTTACTATTGATTAGTTGCACAGGTATTTTAAAGCTCCCTGGGTAATTCCAATGTTCAGGAGAGGTTGAAAACCATTGAAGAGGGATACAGGTTGAAGGAATGTTATGTGTGTTTCTTTACATGCATCAATAAGGTGACAAGTAAGAGATTTAGGAAAGATGAGATATTTACTAGAACTGAGTCCCTCAGAAGATGGAAGTGGGTGAAATTCAGAGCATTGACAAATAAGAAAGGAAGACAATTTGGGAGCAGCAAAGAATATGATGTTAAAGACAGCACATTTCTTTGTTGTCAGCATCCAAGTTGTCATCATGTAGTATCAAGATTGATTTTCTAAAGTATTTAAACAAAGTTAGAGAGCATATTAATATTGTGAAAATGGATGTTGCTCAGGAAAACTCCTTAAAGGAAGCTTGGGACCTCTGGCACCGCCATGTAATGCTTTGTCACTTTTTGGAGGGGAGCAGATGGAATTAACAGTTTGACTATTGCTTGTTACTGAGAGCCAAGTACTGCCAGAGTCTTTTTGGCCCTGTTGGCGTTAGGCTGCATATCTGCACTGAGGAAAGAGAATATTTAACATTTGAAAATCTTCTGTTTAAAACATCTTTTTGCTCAGAAGAAATTTTGTTTGCTTGCCCTTTGGATATATGCCTTTTAAATACATTGGAGGATGAAATCATTTCTATGTCTCCCAAATGAGACCAGGAAGAGTTATGATTAGAAGTTGTCAAGGCCCATACTTTCTATCCTGAGAAAGAGAATATTTATATTCCCATCCTTCCTCTTTTTTCCTTTTCTTCCTTCTTTCCTTCCTTCCTCCCCACCTTCTTCCTTCCTTCCTTCCTTCCTTCCTTCCTTCCTTCCTTCCTCCCTCCCTCCCTCCCTCCCTCCCTTCCTCCCTCCCTCCCTCCCTCCCTTCCTCCCTCCCTCCCTCCCTTTCTCCCTTCCTCCCTTCCTCCCTTCCTCCCATTTCTGGCTCAGGATTTGGATGTAATTAAAAGTTGAGCTCCATGGGTTCTGATGGCTAGGGCTTATTCCTCTTTTGTGATTCTTAGCTTTGGCAGAGGGCTGAAAGCAGAATGGTTAATTCAAAATATTATTGGACATTGTACTTGATCATAAATAAAGGTGGGTGAAAACTTTTATCTGCTTTCTAAAGTTCTGAAAATTTCTTACATTGTGGTTAGGGTATCAAAGTATGATCTGACCTAGAGAATGTAGGCATTCCTAATTTTGGTGCAACCTAAAAGAATGGGAATATCAATGTTGGCATGATTTTAGATACTACATATACTATTGTTACTGTAGTCACAGAAATATTATAAACATTCTGTATTTTCTTAATTACCAATGTAAGATATAATAACTATAGGTAATTTGGAAAATTCACGAATGCATAAATGATAAATAACATTTATAATGCTTCCACTTAGAGATAATTCTTATTAACACTTTAATGAATATCTTTATAGGTTCTTTTTTTTTTTTTTAATATTTTTATTTATTTCTAGGAGAGAGAGAGAGAGACAGAGAGACAGAGAGACAGCGTGAGCAGGGGAGGGTCAGAGAGAGAGGGAGTCACAGACCGAAACAGGCTCCAGGCTCT